TTCCGGGTTCAGGGTTCAGTGTTTAGGGTTTAGGGGTTCAGGGGTTCAGGCTGGCTTAAGTTCTTCAAGAGGGCTCCGGATTCTCTGGAATTTTCGCTTGGGCGCTGGGGGCTCCCTTTTACAGGGTCTCATGGGGCTCTGGACAATTTTTGGAGTTCTCTAAATTAGGGCCCATTTTTGGCGTTCCTTAAATTAAGGGTACTATAAGGGTTAGTATATGGGTAGTTCTCTAAATTAGGGTCTCCTTTGAGGCGCCCTTATATAAGGGCCCTAAAAGGGATCCTAATTTAGAAAACTACCCATATTTGGGACAGGGTTTCATAGGGTGCCTTAAGCGATTTTCAAGTGCTTAGAGCTTATGGCCTCTCGGGGTTCGAGGTCCGGTCCGAGCCGTGAAATCCCAAACGCTAGGTTGCCAAACCCTGACGTCGCACGAAGACAAACCCAAAACTAAACCGTGGACAACCCTAATGGACCCATAATGGTATAGTTATAATAAGGACCTCCCAAAACAATATGGGTAATCATTAAGGCCCCTAAATTAGAACGGGTGTCGTTCTTTTCTTGGGTGCGACTCGTCCTTTGGTGCGGCTTTGCTTGGCTTGGCTTGGTATGGCCTGCCTAGCGAACCCAACCCGCACCAAGGCCAAGTCGCATGTGCTGTGGTGGGGTCATACGTACATGTACACATATATACAAGTGTACATGTTCACATGTCTACGTCTTTGTCTCCGTCGATGTGAAGTCTCCACCAAACCAAGCCAACCCGAGCCACGCCACGCCAAGCCAAGCCAGACGACGCTGCACCTCCAGCCAGGGCAAGCCGAGCCGAGCCAAACCAAAAGTGGAGTCGAGCCGAGCCAAGCCAAGCCGCAGCCCAGCTGCACCCAGGAAAACATAATAACGGGCCTCCAAAATTTGTTAAACTGGAAACCCAAGATGACTAAACCCTGTACGAGAAATCTTTACCCAAAAATGTGCTTGCAAAACCTGCGCTGCCACTCACTCGAAGTCGCCGCCGTGCTGCATTGTGCAGGCGTCATGGTACCCACGGGCTTGCACGGTGTAGGGGCTCCGCATTTGGTTAGGGGGCTTGAGGTTTAAGGTTCAGGATTCGGCGTAATGTAGGGGCCTGAATACTTAGAATAGGGTTGTGGGGGGGCTCCTTATTATAATTATAGTAGAATATACGGCAACACCCTATTCTAATCATTAAGACCCCTATATCATGGATTGTGGAAGTGCAGGATCAAGGCTGCATAATTCTCAGTTACCCTGAGCCCTAAGCTAGGTGCGCAGGTAGTTAGACCACAAACCTTGCTTCTACGAGGGCCTAGCTGCTTCAAAGGGTGAAGGATTTAGGGTTTAGGGTTTAGGGCTAAGTATGGGGCTCAGGTACGACCTAGCTACTTCTAAGTATGTATAGGACTCAGATACGAAGAGAAGAACAGAAAGTTCATACATAGAGTTCTTATTCTAAGCGCTCACGGAGTTTGTTGGCTGGGGCGTTATCTCATTCTCATTGCTATCAATACCGCTGTCACTATTGAATGCTACTAAAACTATTATCAAAAAATAACAACGGCCGTAGTAGTCACCCTCGTCGACAATGTCGTAGCAGTAGTTGTTGTTGTCGTTGAATAAAAATCACAGCAAGACGAGCACTACTACGTTCTTTACTACTCAAAATCAGTAAAGCTTGCGGGCTTCTAAACCCTTAACCCTAAGCCGTTTCAGGGTGCCGAAGGTGCAAACCCACTCCCAACACCACGTCGGTGAAACCTGTGCAGCGATAAGCGCGGCTGGTTGCAAAACAGCAACTGAAAATCGTGAGGGTCAGAGGGGTTTAAGGTTTAGGGCTCAGTAGGATACATGCAACACACACACACACACACTCAAAAGAACAACGAAATTTATGGACAGTCAACCTTCATCCTACGGGAGTAATTATTAATGCTTGCAATGCTGCCTTAATCCGATATCCCAGATCGAGAACTACCATCCGTTAAACAACTCCAAATCACATCTCTTAAACCCAACTCCGCGTACCCAAACTCCCGCAAATAATTGGAAGTTTTGAGGTGTGTATTACAACCATATAAACATAATACGAAACTCAGGAAGAGTATTACTAAATGCTTCTATATTAAACCCTAAACCCAAACCCTTAACTCTACGTACATTAGTTCATATAGGGCAAAAAACCTCAAAACATCAGACAATATCCTATAATACCGAAAATACTGATTATACCCTAAACCCGAATTGGCTCCAGAAAGCAAACCCGGTTTCGGAAGGGGACCCACTAGGAAGCGTCCTCAGAAAGTTGTTTTAACTTACTAATGCTCACGAACAAAGCACTCCAAGAAAGAGGACAAAGAGTCATTCTCTTGACCCTAACCCTAAGCCCTAAATCCTTAAAACCTAAACCGTGAATGCGTGTTCACTCCGCTGACCCTCGTTCCCTACACATCGCTGGACGATGGAGTGGAGGTCCCCGGTGAGATTCCCTCCTGCCCCAGTTCAGGGTTTAGGGGTTTAGGGTTCAGGGTTTAGGGTTTAGGGTTTAGGGTTTAGGGACGAAACGAACTAATGAGCCTGGGCCTCGGTACTTTCGCTGTGGAGTCCCGCTTGGCAGGGGTGTATAAAATTCGGTGCGGGCGTGGACCCTAAACCCTAAACCGCGGGAACCCCATAAAACAAGGAATGTACCGCACTCTGGTCCTGAAAGCTACCAAACTTGCGGAGCAACGGCTCAAATCTCCCCAAGAGCCTAAACCCTAAACCCTAGACCCTAAACTCCTAAACCCTAAACTCCCAAACTCTTAAACCCTAAACCCTAAACCCTAAACCCTAAACCCTAAACCCTAAACCCTAAATCCCTAAACCCTAAACCCTGACGCCGGCAGCCCGGAGCGACAAGGTCCGTGCCACTTGCTCAAGCGTGACTCCT